CTCGTTCTAACACGCCCCCACATGTCTACGTCACGATGGGCGTAACTTTTATTCTCGCTGTAGTATTGTTGTTGTCACCGCCACCATGTCGTGCAGCGAAAGTGTTGTGAAAGCGAAACTACTTTGTTTGGTCTTCCAAAAGAGGATGATATCCGCTTCGTCATGCCTGGAGCTGATCTGTGCTGGACGCTGAGGAAATACATCAACTTCCCGCTGTGGATCGCCGGATCGGCTTTCACCGTGGACGAAGCAGAGTTCAGCCCGGGGTCGTCACATGTGGTTGCCACAAGCCTTCCGGACGCTCCTTCGTCGAATCCACCGGCCGCGCCGTTCTCAAGCCCGCCCGCCCACCGCCGCTCACTCAAGCCGGCCTCCGCATACTTTAGGCCGCGGTGTGTGATGCTTTTTCGTTGTGAAAGCGAAACTACTTTGTTTGTTCTTCCAAAAGAGGACACGACTAGAAATCAGTGGTTAAGTTGTATTTACAACACTGTTCCAGAACACTTCAACCCAAATATTCAGATGTGTGCAGCGCATTTTATGGAGGACTGTTTTCTGATCCTGGTAGAGTAGACTACAATGCCGGCTGTTCTGATTCACAGACTGTAAGTACGTTTTTTATATTTAAAGAATTTGCCACTGACGATTCAAACGCGAGTTTTTTGGGCAGTGTAGAGTAGCACTTGCTGTTTGTCATTTCTCCGATCACAAATGCAGACATGGTTTTATGTTACGCTCCGGCCGGACACGGCATCACAGTATGGTAAGGGGCTTAACATTTCCGTCACACGCTTGAGGTATTCGGCCAATCACAATGCACTGGATAGCTGGCCAATTAGAGCACACCTTGCTTTTCAGAACGATGAGCTTTGTAAAAATCGACGCGTTTCAGATAGGGGTTTTTTGAACCTTAAACCGCATAAACACATTTCATTACACCAAATACACAAAATAATGTTCTTTTTAGCAACGTCATATGACCCCTTTAAATAGGACCAAAGCAAATATCACCTTATTCCAACTCCTAACCAAGGGGGCCTCGATCACTAGTCTACCACAATAAATTGCTTTATTTTGGCAGCAAATGTTAATTTCCTGTTAGCATACTCAAATGGAATGACACTAGATCTAATTCTAACTGATGGATGCCAAATATTAAATGACTACTCCCAGGTGCTGAAAGCGGTGCCGTACTGCTCTGGCCACTAGATGGCCCTGCAGCACACTTGCGTTGCTCTTTCGAAGCCTGCGAGTTCTTTGACGGACAGAGCCAAGTCCCTCCCTGCCAAAAAGCTTCCACAGGTTCAGCTCTGCATGGGAAAGCTGCTGGTGTGAATCTGAAACGGGGGCAGTAAGAGGACGTGCATATTTCCCTAGACCCAGGTTCCTGCCTCTTCTGGCCACTGCATTGGAAAAGCACATCTGAAGATGGCAGGGAGTAAAGCAGCAACAAAGAGCACACCTTGTGTTTCTCTCTGGAACGGGAGATTTGAGAGATGGGAATCTGGCTACGCAGCCTCTCTCTCTGTGTGTATGTGTGCTTAGTTTGTTTCTCTTGGCCAACAAAACAGGGTGTGTGTGTGTGTCTGGAAAAGAGTCAATCAGAGCGAGTCTGACTATATAGAATAAAAATAATAGGGAATGTGAGAGTGTGTTACTTACATGTGCGTTCATCTGTAAATTATACAGCGGAATGTAAGTGCATTGAAATTGTGCAACCAGGTGTGAGTCAGTGCCTCTGGTTCAGAGAAAGAGAGAGAGAGAGAGAGTGTGTGTGTGTACAGGTGTATGTTTCTTGCTTTAAAGCCAAAATGAAATGGTGTTTAAAACCTATTTCTGTAATGTGATGTATTTCAGGATATCAACATGAAGAAACTACAGTACATATGAAATGCAATAGGTCAAAATAAAGAGTGCTTTTTCATCATAATTTCTTCTATTGTCTTTGAAATATTGTTCAAATGTACTGACAAGCATTTATGGTAAACTAAAATATACTATATAATGTATGTCATGTCTTTAATATATTTGTAATTACACATTTGTAAAGGCGAAGCTGCAGTTTATATACATTTAAAATATATTAACTTTAAAATTTGAATAACATGATGAAAGATTATTTAAAAAATATTTAACATGTACTTTATAGTAAAACATTTAATTGAACATTATTGCCAAGTTCACTTTTTAAAAGTGTACAAAAGTGCTAAGAAATACACAGTAGTTATATAAGTGAACTCTAAGTGCATTTAAGAGATCTTTTATTTCATAATGTATAAAAATAGTTATAGTGCACGGGACGGACATTAGCTGAGCCGAGCGACAGAAAGATAGAGATGGCGGATACAAAACAAAAGAGGAAAACGTCTGCGGAACAAAAGTAGGCTTAAGGCAAGAAGTAGGACCCGTGTAAATATCGGATCATCTTTCCAGCGCTGCAGAGAACTCAAGGAGCGGAAGGCCTGCGATCGGATGCCGAGGTTGCTTTGTTTCTTCTCGATAGATGAGTAACACCGTGTCTGCGCCGCAACAGCTAAAGTCTGTCTAGTACAGTGTTTCCCAACCTTTTTTCAGCCGCGGCACCCTTTGGAAAGTTGAACAAACTTGTGGCACCCTACAAAATTAATTTTGTCACAATATTTGAATTTCTATCTTCGATATGATAATTTGAAAAGTATAGATATTCGGTACAACAGGGAAGAACTGCAGAATATAATGTCATACAGATATTTTTAATATTATTAACAAATTGTGTCCATCAATGGTGGCAATCAGTAATCAGCTTGATTTCTAATGAAGAGACCAATTTATATGACAGATTTTAATGTAGGCTTTTATACATATGTAAACATTATTTAATTACCATTATAACTAGCTATCTCACTAATTTTTGCTCACTCAGTGTTTTTTTTATTTTACAGTGGGGTAATTTTGGTGCAGTAGCACGAGATAGCTTGATTTCAAACTTTGAATTGAATAAAAAATGACAAGTAAGCAGTCAGTAATAAAATAAGAACAAATAAAGAAATTAATAATG